GGAATGCAGTGCAAGAAACCGTTTCGAAATCGGCTCACATTTCAAGGACAAATGCCCAAAACAGTGGATCGGGGGGAGTGGAAAAAGACAGCCAAAAAACAGCCCGACCGGGTATACGCCTCTTCGAGTATTTTCGCGCTCCGCGCGAAAATTTTTATAATACGTCCCCGCCTAGCCCTACCTATGGGCCCTGAGCCCCGGCTGCTGCTCCAAAAACACTCCACGATGAGTAGCATCGGCAGCGGAGCCTTGGACAGAATCCTATCGCGGGTTCGCGCCCTCACCAATGCCAGGCGAACAGGAAGAAAGGAAAAGGCAGCGGCAGCGTCGGTAGTAGCGCTGGTGTACCTGGCGGTGGTCTTTCGGCAGGGAAAGCTCGTGTGCCGACGCTCTGGGCACAACGTACGCGTGCTGCGAGCTTTGGCAGGGGTAGTCGACCGGCCGTACTACCCGTCGTGGCTCACGCCCAACGCGCACGTGAACTGCCTGCTGGGGTACGCCAAGAGAGGCATCACCGTTAGCAAAACCAGAGAGCTCATTCGTTGTTGAGGTGAGAGATCGATTCATGTTCTCGTAATGCCGTCCAGATGCATGTGCATGCTGGTGTGCATAGACTACACTACAGCAGTACCACTGCTGTAGGCAGCATGTGCTTGTTTCGGGAGGTTCGGGGGTGTGGGGCATCCCGTAATTACTGTTTGTGATTATCTCTGTGCACTGCGAGCTCGTTTTTTTATGTCTCCTATGACAATAACGGCAAAGTGTGGTAGCGCTTATGATTCTCGGCTGGTGAGTCCCAAGACAAGCATCGACACCGAAGTGGGTGCACAGCAGTATATCGGGATCGACGACAACATGGCAGCAGCAGCTATCTGCACACCAGTCAGCTGCACCATAGTCTACAGCACCAGTTTCCCGGAACCCTGGGTGTGCGTGCTCTCGCACCCGGCTGCGTTGCGACCCACTCGCCCACAGGGTGACGACAGTTATGCGCCGGTATCGACGATTCTTTGAAGCACACGTGCAATCTGCGGCGAGAGTACGGTACACTGCTGTGCACCTCACGGCTGTTTGTGTGCAACAACCCCTCCGCAAGCCTGCAGCAACTTCTCGAGTTTTGCGATTGGCATCCATGCGCTACTGTTGTGTCAGAGAAAGAGCCATCCCCCGCTCTCTCTCGGTTTCTCCCCCCGCATCGCATCGCCAAAATCAAGCGTGGAAAACCATGGGGGGCGGGGCAGAGCGGGTGTTGGGCGGCCGGGGGGCACCTCTCGCTTTTGTAACGGTTTCGACAGGAGGAACGGAGTCGCACACAACCCGCCTTCCCCGAAGTCGACAGGGTGATGGGCCACTCTAGTGCAGCGTCGAAGGCTCGGCATGC